TAAGAACTCACATGAATCAACACCCCCATGCATCATTTCTCTCATACATATTAATAGTGCAATATTCCCAAAAGCTCATTCTTCTTCATATTCCATCCTACATGAGGAATCGTACATCGCAACACCATTTTTAAATTTAACTAAGACACCAACTCTTGAGACTATAGATCTTCATATTTTCTTGCATTATTTAAGAACATAGTTCCACCCTTACCTTACTCAACATGAAAAATAAACACATATGAATGATAATTTATGTTATGTAAAAAAATGAGTCCATTTACATCTTTTCCTTGAAAGACAATTTTTTTACTTCAATATCCTCAACTGTCCATGTCGAGTACTGTAATAATTGTGGTCGAACGTGGATTCAGTTGGCAAACATCCTTTTTTTTTCATTCATTTTTTTTTGGCAATATGAACAAATGACGTCACAGCCAGCAGTTGTATGTGCAGCATTCTATATAGTTATTCAGTGAAGCGCATGGCACATATATAATGAGATGTTACTTAAAAGAAATTGTCGCATTTATACACCAGCTATATAAGCCATAAATTTTCTCTTCTTTCCCTCACTTTTATCCAATCTTCTTTCCTTTATGCTGTTCTTTCCTCGAATGAAGAAGACGATGAACGGAACAATGAAAATAAAAATAAAGAAGAGATGCTTTTTCGTGGAGCATTCACATGCACAACATGAAAATGAGAAGAGAATGAGAGCGGCAAAAATCCAATAAAACTGATCCCATGTTCATTTCATTCACAAAAAAAAATGACTTCGAATGACTTTGTTTGTATTAGTTTGGGTCATTAATATTGGGATGGTGTCCTTTGTCTATTTTTAAATGCTGCAGCTATTGTTATTCTTATGGATGTTTTGTCAGGATTTGTGCTGCTGTCTTGAATGAGATGATCGTGGGAGTAAAAGTTTTCTGAATTAAGGAGAATTGATATTTCTTGTATTAATTTGTGAGGCGTTAGCCTTACTACGCTTTTGATGCGAGGAAGAAAAGCTTCTAAAGTTCCATCATCAATGAACATCATGACACAACATTTGTAAACGATCCCCTTTTTAAAACTGTATATTAAATCACAACAAAAACAATGCATCCTTTTTCCTAACAAACAGCTCACATTCCGCCAGATTTTGCAACGGTTCTGATTCGCCTTTTCTCTCTCACATTTTCATTTCCTTTTTTCTCTCGTCAACATATTTCTCTGTCATTACTTGACAGTAAAGGAATGAATTCCTTTCTGTTTGCCATTAAAGTTCAAAAACTCAGTTCCGCACAATCTCACTGGTACATAAATATGATAAAGGAAATGCCATGAGTCAAGAAAGTTTTCTAAATCATTTTAAAGTTATTTACGCTTCAAAAGAAATGAAGTGGTCAGTTTAAGGAAGTTTCTCATTGTATTATATGGATAGAAGTTCTAATGAAAGAGACATGAAGTGGAATATTAATGAAAAGAATGTGAGGAACATCTTGAGTAATTGATTTACACTTCAAATGATTTGATTGAATAAAATTTAAAAACTTTCAGAGACATCAATAAAGAATTCCTTCAGCTTCATAAAGCTTCAAACTCATCGAGTTCAGAATTCAATAAAGAAACTTTCATATTCGATTCATTGCATTGATAAATTATATTTAAAGTTGAGTAAATGTGTGTATAATTTTTAATGGATGCTCTGCAAGACTTTAAAGTTTACTATAGTGTCTTCAAAGTGCTGTTCAGTTTCATTTTTATTTAAAGTTCTCAAGACTATATTAAAACGCTGCCAAAAAAAGACTATTTGACAGCTAGAAATGAATTATATTCATTAATCTACTTATGAAGGGTGTGCAATTATGAATGTTTATCAAAGGGTGTAAAACTAAGATGTTTAGCAAAAAAATTTCACTTTTTACTGAAAGGGTGTAAAACTACGAATGTTCAACAAAGGATGTGAAACTACGAATGTTTAACAAAGGGTGTGAAACTACGAATGTGCAACGAAGGGTGTGAAACTAAGATTCTTTTGCAAAAAGTTTGTACTTTAGATAGAAAACTTTAATCTAGGAATGATTCGCAAGGACTTGACTATGATATTTGTTAAAGGATGTGAAACTATGTTTTGAGAAGGGCAAACTGAAAAATAATTTTCATAATTTCACACCCTTTATTATTCAATAAACTTAAAAGATAACCGTAGAAGAACATTCTCTCGCTAAAAAAATACGACTTCCTTCCGTCATACTCGTGAGAAGCTCACAGCTAGTTGAAGAATAACGATTCTAAGGAAATGATAAGGAAAATCCATTAATGTGTGTCTCAAAACAATCAAGATATGAATATCTAAAGTTGATATATGTAGAAGGATTAAATAAATTGTGTGGAAATGAAAATTTTTCTTTTTTTTCCCAATTTTTCGGTTTTTAAGAGGGAGAAACAAATTCCAACTCTTCTTTATGCTGTGGTTTATTCGTTAAACAATTTTCATCGACATTTTTCATTGAAACATTTTGTCAATTTATGTGCCTCACAAAAATCTTTAACCTAAATTTTGAAAAATGAAGATTTTTTTCTCTTTTTTTTTTGAAGCAGAACTGGGCGTTTTAGCATAGAATTTAAAACAAATGGACTTTTTGGCTTCAAACTCAAGCTTTAATAGCATTCAAAACATTTATCTCTAACTGTGAGCATGGTGCAGTCATGTGCTTAGAAATTTGGCACAAAAATCTATCTGAATTGCTCAGCAGACTTTAACGTTCCATCGTTAAGATAAACTGCAAAATGATAAATGATACACTGTATGTTTTTGTTGCTTTTAATTGCTTGTGTTTGAGAAAAAAATTCTCAAGGTGGTTTTAAACTTTTACGTGAAAGTCATTATGTACTTTTTGATTAATGTACATAATGTTGAAAGAGTTTTGCTTCCGTGCTTTGTTGTATGGTGAACTTTCAATATTTAATTATCAAAATTTGGTGATTTAAAAGTTATCTAACGTAAGATTAAACAATGATTGACACTGTTACTGAATATTTCAGAAATTGAGCTTAATTTGAGTTGTTTAAAATTTGAAAGATCATAAAATTAGGTAATTTATAAATATTGAAATTTCTAATGTCATTATAATGATATTCCAATACTATTGACAGCTGTTGTCTATTATTTTGAAGAAATTGGATGTTAAAACTTGTCTAATAATTAAAATAAAGTTCATTTTATCTACAACTCAAAATATGGAAAACAACAACAAAGTCAAGGGGCTTGCAACTTATTCCAGTCACGTAAAATATTCAAAAAGTGAAAGACGTTAATTAATTTTTAAGGTTAAAAACTTACATAAATGCCTTTTTCTGCTTATATATTAAATCTGAAGCAATATTTTAATAAATTTTTATTTTATTTCTTCCAGCCAACTATTGCACATAACTTTTAAGCACAAATGACAATTAAATAAGAATAATAAATTGAACATTTTGGATACAATACTATCGAAAAATAATAATTATAGTAATCTTTGATACCAGTGACTAATACTAATAGTTAAAAGAAGTGTAATAACAATAAACGACAGACTTTAGGATAAAACTCAATTGCCATATTTAACATATAAGAACAAAATCTCCTAATATTGAAACTTATATAGTAAAATAATAATAATAAAAATTGTTAAAGTGTGATTTCGTGTAGCTCAATTGAATTTAGTGTATAAATTGTTTGCGATAAGTGACATAAAATTCAACTAAGTGGATATAATAAATAAATGTTCAGCTACAACAGCAAGAAAATAAGTAAAATTTATTGAACCAGCAGCATTTTATGTTTAAAGCTACTACATTTATTCATAAACAAGTTAAAATCGTGTTTATGCATATTTAAATTAAATTAATCATTCAGAATAATCAATTCTAAAAAAATTGTGTGGATATTTTTTGGATTTTAAACTCAAGGAAAAGCACGTAAAACAAGTCGGAACTATGTGGAGATTTATTTCCGTTTAGGGTGAGTAAATGATCATAACTTTAAGATAAATGGATGATTTATGACTATGACATTGTGAGTTCCTGAGTTTAACAGGAGAACATTGGATTTGAAGTGGGTTGTGCTTACATTTTGGAGGGAAAATTGTTAAGGGGACGTTCACTTATGACGTCCAGGGGGGTCAGCAAGAAAAGAACAATAGAAATTCCTGGAAATCCATTGTTCTTTTTTGAAAAATGACCGTTAATTCCGTACGTCATAAGTTCAATTTCAATTTTGAAGCAAAAATCCTTCCAACTAGCGTCAGATATACTAGATCCACAGTCAAAAATTTACATGCTTGCAGTTCTAGCAGATTTGAACCTACATTTTGGCGGGAAAAATAACTTAACACAATTTTGGCGCGAAAACCTTTTAATAATTGCTTAAAACCACAAAATTCATCTAAACTTCCATCCCTAGCATCCACAAATAGACCAAAAATCTATCAAAAAACTTCTTCCAATCATCATTATAGTGGTTGCATCCTTTCAAAAGAGGAAAATTGCTCGAAATTTTTTCTATAAAACTTTTATTTCAAAAAAAAAAAAACAATTTTTCCATCTCTTTGGATTAAAAAGAAACTTTTCTAATCCCAAACAAAACCACAACATCATCATTATTCATCAACCTTATTCTTCTCTACAAAAAGAAAAAAAAAAGCCACACATGAGCGAGAGAAAAAGTGCGATAAAAGAAGTAACAAGAAATATTCTTTTTTTCCATGAAAAGCGTCAATAAGAAATTCACGATATATGCTGAAGTGTATAATGTATTTTTAATGTTGGTATGTTGGTTGCTTACATTTCCGCGTTTTTGATATTATTTTCTTTTTTTGTCACGAGCTACTTTCCAGCCATGCACATATAGTCGAATTTGTCATCTCCCTTTTTCCTGTTTATTTTAACGACAACGATGGAACCACTTTTTATGCTTGTGTGGAGTTCTTTGTAAATTTAGCATGAGAAATTTTCGTGAAAGATAAGATATGGATGTGATAAACATCCTCACGAAAGGTTTCTGTAGGAGAAATTCTTGGAGAAAGTAGGTTGAAAACTTTGTAGCTGACTTAGGATTTTCAATTCTTTGAATCACTTCTATATCAATCTCCAGCTATAGTGTTGTAGCTAAGATCTGGTAAAAGGTTAGGATCATGATGTAGTAAAAGGTTAGGATCATGATCTGGTAAGCGATTAAGGTTAGCATCTGTTCATGACACTGATCAGACTCAATCTCTTAAATCCTATCTGTAGAGATGACTCCCAGGACTATGGATAGTTGATGAAAATTCGAACTCGTGGCAAAACTTTGAAATTTTTATTTACGTTATAATTTTTTTCATTCTATTGTTTTCACAATTTAAAATGCACGTGTAAAGATTGAAAACTACTTAATTATATTGTATTTAAGTGGTTTTAGTTTTATAAGGCTGTAAAAATGTTTTTTTGATTGATTCAAATTTTATCTTCCAATTTTTGTCAACAAAACAAGTTTGTTTACAATTTATGACAAAAATTTTCAATTGCAAATTTTTCATCTATTTGAAGCATAATTTAAGCTATGACAGTTGCAAATCGATTAATATCACTCAATAATTACAGCAACATGCTTAAACAGAACCAAAATTGTCTTTAAATATGAAATTTTGTGAATTTATGAAAAAATTCATTTCCGAACTTTCGTAAACATTATCGAAAACACAATGATTCAGAATCGAAAAAAATGTTCAAAAATTCAAAAATTTCATGTTAATTAAACTATGTCCTTTAAATGCCAGATTAAAGATCTTAACTTGAGGCATATCCTATGAAAATATCTCGTCCCAATTTGATGTCTAACTCCAGAAATCATTAATTTAATCTCACCCAAAATTTGTTTACAATTTGTGTATGAAAAAAAAAATATGATTTTTTCTACTTTAAGTTGTTATTTGGATGTCTTGGAAGCAGTTACTAGCTAATTTAAGCTTAGCTTTACATACTAAAACAACCAACTCAATAGAAATCTGCGTATTAAGCCTTAAAAATGGAATTGAAATCTGAGTATTTTTGCACAACTTAAACTATTCATAAGTTTAAAAGTCTTCCAAAGACCTCTCTGAAACCTATACAAATCCATTAATTAAGTTAAAATCTATCTCCCATATTACTGAGGACATGCCGTTTGATGCCGTTTTCGAGATATTTGCGATCAAAGTTTACATAAATTTTCATACAAAATTTGATCATGCACAATATTTTTTGATAAACTTTTACAAACTTTTGGTAAAAAATCATGTTTATCCTTTATATTAGGGACTAATTTTTTGAGCAATGAACGAAAACATTATGTAGATGATGCTAAAAGATTCAAATCAAGAGAAATTAACAAAAACTTTCAATTTTCTAATGTGTTGGAAAAATATTGTGCACAAGGAATTTTTGAACATTTTTTCCGAATCTGAATCATTGTGCTTTGGGATGACTGATACTTGGTCAATGAGGAGTTATTCTAGCTACATTTGGATCCTGATACACCGAATGTTTAACTAGAGTTCATAAAGTAGAGTAGCATTTAACTGTTGACAGTCACGTAGTGCTGTTCTTTGCCAAGGATCCTGACTCATTCAACAGAATGCCTAGCTAATTCTAGTCCTCTTTCAATGCATTACTCAGTCCACCTTGAGCCATTAGCTGACAAATAATTAAATAAAGTTAAGCCAGACTCTTAGTGCACATTCTCATTACCAATTTTTGATTCAAAATCTAGCTCCGAGTTATTTCAATTCAAAAGTATCCAATTAAAATCCAACTAATTAAAACAAACTCCACAAAAGCTTCATTTAATCATCAACTTTATTTTACCCCATTCTCTCTCATTGCCGCCTGTTAAACCATTTCGAATGCTGAATGATAATGCAATTTTATTTATTGGCAAATGAAGTTAAAGCATTCATACACTTATGGTTGGTACTGAATGAAAAATTAATTTCCTTTAATTTTTGATGATATTCTGCTCCACTTTCATGAGCATCGATCTTTCCGCACAATACGCTGTCATATTTAAGTAAGTAAGAATGAGAGAGTGCGATAAAAAGCAGCAGTAGCAGCGAGAAAAGGAAGCTGAAGAAGAAAAGTGAAGAGGGAATAATAAAATTTTATTACTGTTTAAGCCATTGAGATAGTCATTTGTGATAGCCACTGTTATATATCCGTTCTTTAATTTTTATGGTAGAATTTTAGAGTTGGGCATCTGGCTACCAACTAGAATGTATTAATATCCGAGCAGTACATGAATGTTGTATGTCCGTCGTGTGGTTGCAACGCAACAATGTCACACCATAATTGTGTAACATCCATTAAATGTTGAATTAATAAGGCAGCCAGATGACAGCTATCCAAATAATGCACATCTCGGGCATTATTTATGGGGATTAAGAACTTTGAGAATTTATTGAAAAAATGTGGAATTTATTTTAGTCTGTCGGTGTATTTTATTAGTCTGTTGTCGACAGGATTACGATTGTACATGATGGATTTTAGAAATTGACTTTGACATTCGTAAAGGAGCATTCGTGATCAGAGTAATTTTTAGGCAATCACAATTGGTATTTGTTATGGGTTTGGATTATCTCTTCTTCTTCTTCTTCTTATAAGCTTCACCTTCGTTGAGAAAGCTTTATTTTGAGGGGTTCAAACTGAAAGCTTATGGTTCTATTTTTAGCACTTCCAAATTCTTCTAATCTGATAATCCGATGTTCAATAAGTGACGAGCATTTATGGAAGTGTTACTGTCATTTTTGGCAATTCTGATGTATATATTGAAGGAGCTGATTAATTAAATGATCTGACTTGATAAACAGTAATCTTTGCTTTTGACTCAGTGGTTGTGGGTTCGGAACCTTAAAGTATAGTCCATGAATCCTTTATTATCATTCTTTATCTTGTCATTCTCCATCTGAAATTGCTTACTTCTTTCCTTGGCTGAGGTGCACGTGGGCCCATTGCCGCGTTCAGAGATCATCTAAAGACAGCCCTATCCTTCGAGACCTGCTGTTAGTTCGAGATATTAAGGACTATAGCGTCCTTATGAATACATCCAATCCAGGTATTCTTTGGTCTTCATTTAGATTTCTTGTCATTCATAAAGTCTGCAACTGTTACTCTAAGTACTGGGACATCTTGTGGACCATTAGAAATTTCAATTTTACATTCACCCGCATCCATAAAAGTGGCAAACAAGTAAGAAATTTATCAACAGAAGTAAAGATTAAACCCATAAAAAAATAATTTTAATGCCATCAATTAAATTTCCATTTTGGATTATCTCTTGCACAAAGTTTTTATTTCCATTTCTCTTCTGTCTCATCCTTTTGATGTTTATCTGTCAATTAACATTAAATTGACTAATTGGCATTATCATTTAATGAGATTCAAAATGACATCCAATTTTGGGTCAATGAACTTTTTTTTCGTAACGAATCAATTTGATCTTTATGATTATAAAATTGCTTATTTTTGAGTCTCTTTATCTCGAGAGACCTTCAAGCATCAAGTAGTTCTCCCACTCTCATGAGAAAAATATTGATGTAAATTTATTGAAACTTTTTTTTTTGAATATCATCAAAACAAGTTCAATTGATGTGAAGATCATTGAACTTTTTTATGTAAATTTTATCTTGTGATGAATAGGTGAATTTTCGGGTCATTTGTTAATCTATGAAGTTCCTCAAAACATGTTTTAAAGATCCAGTCTTCCCTCTATACTCTGTCGCAAATCTTCAATGGAAAATTTTTTTGGTGCTGTCATAAAATCCTAGTCTCTATTAAAATGTAAGCGTCACATCAATAAATGCTGGCAATAGTTTGTAAACATTATAAAATTTGTGGAAAGCGAGTGGGCATAAAACTTCAGTGAGCTGAAGTGGCTCGGTGGCAGAATGTTTTAGAACTTTGTTACCTTATTATTGCAATACTGAAAAAGAGGCTCACAGCCTTCCTTTGTAGGTTACACATAGAAATTTCATCAAAGTAGTGGTTCGGATTCCACTTAAAATTGTAGATCAAGGTTTGAGTGCAGTGGTATGGCTCGTTAAACTCTCATTAGCTGCGAAACGCCCTAGCGCACCTCTAGATCACAATTGATCTGAAAAGGTTAAGTTTCTTCTAAGATTATGATCACTAGCTTAATTAAGCTTTAATCATTAGAATTGAGTGTTCTGTATGCAGTTAAAATTGTTAATTCGTTGCGAAGATGTGAATTAATTTAAAAAATTTGTGGCGTATGTTCAGAAATTCAAATTTTGAATTTTAACGGAAATATAAAATTAACCTAAATTAAACTTTTCGATTTGCTAGGTTAAAAACGCAAAAATGTTAAGGATCGTTGACCCATAAACTCCTCCCCATCCATCTAAAACTATTCAACCTAAACAAAAAAAGTTAAAAAAAGCTTAACATCCTGAATATTTCTGTTACAGTCACAGCATCGCAAATAGTTTGTAAGAGCATTTAAAATTCAATATTTACTTTTCAAAAGGACTTATCTGTAAATCCAATATAAAATATTCCAGTCAAGTCTATAGTTGATATTGTTCGCAGCCACTCGAGTTGAAAACAAAATCCCAAGAAAATCCAATCAGCAAGCTCTAATTAGCGAATTTATTCCAATCACAATTTTTTTTTTCATTTCATAAAATTCTTTTGTATAAAAATGTTCCCATTCAGTCGTGAAGATAAATTTAATTATTTTCAGATTCAGCAGTTCTATAGAAGAGACAATGCGAGAGAGAGACAGAATGGATGAAAATTCTCATGTATGAGAATGATGAAAATTTTATTACAGAAACTTACCTTTTTTAATCTCTTTGAAATTAAGTATTCCATTCCATTCGAGTCAACTGAGGAAAGAAAAGGAACTGAAAAAAAATGATGATAAGAAGCTTCCTTTATTCTTTTAATAATATAAGGAACGAAGATTTAATTTAAATGGAAATTTTTGTATTTTTTATTTTTTTGAAATTCAATTCGAGAGACAC